TTAACTCAAGGGATTACTCACTGCAAACTTCACAAAACAACAAACAGCTCTCACGGCAGATTACACAGCAGGTTTCAAACAATGAACCGACACAGGACAGCAAACACAAGGGGATTATAAAGGGGAACACTAATGACCAGGACAGGTGAAACTGACTAGACAATAATCACAAGACTAGGATAACAAGGGGGCGGGGTAAGTTAACGAGACAACACAAGCACATGGCCCAAACAGGCCGTGCGCTTGCACACAAAACATGATTCTGTCATGATCCTGCCTCACGACTAGAGAAAAATCAAAGACAAGAAGGCAGAATCATGACAGTATTACCCATAGTTATTTGACCATTGACCTGAGGATTTTGTCAAAAAACAGACGAACCGGTTTAAATAAGAATCTTTACACACAGCGGTCTTAAAGACACAAGTCTTCTTGACACACACACACACACATATATATATATATATATATACTGTATATGTTTTGTTATGACACAGCTGTTTGTTGAGAAGCGAAGACCAGGAGACTTGCTTGTATCTTCAGCAGGATTATTTATGGAGAACACAAGCTGTCGGTATCTGCAGTCATCAAGTCTGACTATGCAGTATACATTGTATTTTATATACATTCCAAGGAGGAGGAATTTACTGTACAGAGAGGTGGCATGTAAATGAAGTTCATGAGCAAGTTTCCCAGCCCCGATCTCATAAGCATAAGTGTCATTCAAATGCATCGATGTTAATCCAATCAGATTCATTTAACTTATAATAGAGAGAACAGGCAGAATTCGTATGCTTAACAGCTGATATCATCATCATCATAACCTTATATGCTAAATTCAATTAACTCTACCTTAGTTTTTCATTTTATGCTATATAAGGACATAAGATCAGCAGATCTTAAACAGATTCTTAAATTTGTAATCCCACAGTTGTAAACCAATATTGTGTTGTTTATAAAGTAATGTATGTTATCTTTATACAGGTGTATTGTATTTCGAGCTGTATTTGATTTGTTTTAATGTTTGTTCCGCAAAATGTGCATCTTTGGATGTTTGGATGACGTTACTTCATGTCTTTACTACACACTAGCCAATCAGCCTACATTTCATTAGATTGTAGATATGCAATAATTTATGTGTCATTGATAGGATTTGTTTTAGATTTGGTCTCAGACAAAAGTCTGATTTTTGAATTTGTGAAATGACAATCAACATGAAACATTCTAACCTTTTTGGCTTATTTGATGCTTTTAACATTTCAATAAATAAAAAAACTAAATGTGTTCATTTGTGGTAATTTATTTCTATTTACGTGGTCATATTCACTGACCAATAGGTTGTTGTAGTATATTTATATTACCTATAAGTATGTATTATTTGCGTCAATATTTTAGTTTCAGTGCTCATAATTTAGTAATTATTACTACATCTCTGCATTTCACATCATTATCATGAATTGAGACTTATGCTTATTAACTCTGCCTGAGAAAAGGTATTGTGATGAAGCCTTTCACTTTGTGAAAAAAAAGATTAGGTAATTAGTTATTTTGGTTGTGTTCAATTCATCTTTTATTTTATTTTCTGAAGTTTTGATGTGCCTGGGTTGCTGGTAAAAAGTAATCAATGGCAGATGCTAATATAAATTAAATATTCCATCATCGCTGATAAGTGAGGCTTATCACTTAAATGGTTATACATGACCTCTTCAAGCACTTAAGACATCGTGCAACCTCTTATTGTTGCCATGGCCCCCTGAAGGGTCGTCTTCGCCATGGCCGCCCGAAGGGTCGTCACCATGGCCGCCCGAAGGGTCGTCTCCACCATGGCCGCCCGAAGGGCTGTCGCCATGGCCACCCGATGTGTCGTCTCCGCCATGGCCACCCGAAGGGTCATCTCCACCATTGCCGCCCGAAGGGTTGTCGCCATGGCCACCCAAAGGGTCGTCTTCGCCATGGCCGCCCGAAGGGTTGGTGCCATGCCCCCCCGAAGGGTCGTCTCCGCCATGGCCGCCCAAAGGGTCGTCTCCGCCATGCCCCCCGAAGGGTCGTCTCCGCCATGGCCGCCCAAAGAGCCGTCTCCACCCTTTTTGTGCTTGAATGTACTTGGCCCCTGAATGTAATGTGGCACTTTAATGGCCCGTTTAAATAAATCCTAGAACCGCCACTGATTTTGTTGTTGAAGATGTCGAAATGCTTAAACAGAACTATAAGGCTCATTCAATAAATAAATTATACACATTCTGTAGAAATGTCTGATGTCATTTCAGGTCGTTTCATAAATGAGAATGCAAGTTAATGACCCGTAGATAGCACTGCAATTGTCCAAATGACTAATCTACAACATTTTGCTTTCGCTTGACAAGAACAACATTTAACATGCCAAATGTCCACAATTGTTTTTCATCTTTTACAGTTGGACTATTAGCTCTATATTGTTATACACAGTCTAATTCTTACTGCTTTAAAGCTGCAATACCTACGATTTAGATGCCGCTAGAGGGCGCTACATTCAAAACAACAACAACGGCTTTGCTTGATGACGACGTGGAGGAACGCGGAATGATGGGAACTGTTGTTTTCAACTCCACCGTGGATAAATCAGTCAGACGGGAATCGAAAATTAGTTGTCATGGATGAGGTAAAGTTTGATTTATATAAACGTTGCGTTTAATGACATGCTTGTTTTTCATTAAACTGAAATAACCGCAAGAAAAGTCAAGTAATTTTAAAAGTAAATTAGTTACTGTACGAGTCACTGGACGAAGCTATGGTGGAGAGGGTTTGAAGGGGCAGGTCTCTTGCAAGGAGTTGACGTGGCTGGTCCTCCTTGGTAACTTTATAAAAATAAAAAATCAATTTAATGTACATTTCACACATCTTTTCATGTCGTGTAAGTATTCAACCACAGCTACAGTTTCACAAAATTAACGTTAAGGGGGTCGCACACCAGACGAGAAGCTGCAGCGGCGCGTCGCGCCACATCTTTAAAATTCGAAAACATTATTATCTATAAGTGTAACGTTACACATTCCGGCAGCGCCATTTGGCGTCTGTCCGCGGCGCCCAGCAACAACGCCTTAGGACCGTGTTCAAAATCCTGCTGCGCCACAGAGCGCCATTTACATAGTTTTATATAAAATTTTGATTATTTTTGTCTCAAACCGTTGCTAATGGATCCTGACTTCGCCCTTTGCTGCAATATGCATTTAGTTTTGCAGTCATTTACAGAAATTAGCTGCTTGAATGACAATTGCTGATGTTATCATTAGATTTTTCAGGTGAGATTCTCAATTCATTCAGTGAACGGATGCTCTGAGGTAAAGTTTTCAGAATGCAAACTCAGCAATTGTATTTAATTGTACAGTACAATCATAACATAGAACAGACATTATCTTCATTTCATGTCATTTAACATAACAATATTGCTGGCCATACACTGATGAGAAAGTGCGCCTCCGGTGTTCGATAACGTTACTGTGGAGTTGTCCTAAACGTGGCGCGACGCTTCTCGTCCGGTGTGTGACCCCCTTTACAGCCAACAGTTCACATTCCGAGAATAAAAAATGAAAAGAATAATTGTGCTCCATTCCATAACAAATGCGCTAAACAAGCTGACGTTTGTTGCTTGATAGACGCTAACGCACAACTACAACTACCGCATTTGTCCAGGACTACACGTAGTACGAGCGGAAACCGAGGTAAGCGGATATGACGCGATTGACTGGCGACTCCCAGCTCACCCCTGCTCATACGCCCCGTTTCCTTGGTTAAAATCTCAATTTTCTCGCGATTTAAACATTGTTTGAAACATTTGGAATATTGTGAGTTATCATCATAACTAAATATATAACACTAGCCTTGTGATTTTGGGATATTTGAATGCAAAAATCTTAGGTATTCCACCTTTAAGAGAAATGTCCCATGTTTAGACATACTTCAGTGAAGCAAGTCTTTATAAGAATGTGTAAATGTCTCGACATGCGCAGGGCTATGACGTGTTTTCCATGGAAAAAAATAATAATGGAGCTTCCTGGTTAACACAGAGCAGCATAAAACGAAAGCCCCAACAAAACCTGTTGAAATTACCCACTGACAGACTCAAGTGTACCTATTACTCAAACTCTGTTTCACCATTCTGAGGTTTTAGTTTAGAGAACTATAAACACAGTGTATTTTATTGAGAATGTTTAGAATGCTTTAGTTTGTATGGTATCAGTGTAGGCAGCTTTATTGAAAGTGTGGATGAGACTTTTAGTGTGGTTTGTTCTATGAACGGCCTGAAACAACATTTAAAAACAAAAACAAAATAGAAATCCAAATAAAACATTTCAGAAAAACGTTCAATGAACAAAGTATAACATGACTTTTGCCCATATATTCTACCCTCCCCCCACTAACCACAATGCATGCTTTAGAGGCCAATAAGCAAAAAAACATAATGTTTGACTGTTTAACGTGGGCCTATAAGCTGCATGATATTGAATCATTGTACAGAAATGCTATTGTGACACTGATCATAGGTGCAAATATGACTGATTTATTTGCTCCAGCTTTAGGAATGAGATGTGAGAGTGGAAAAACATAGTCTTCGCTATCCGTGTGCTATCCATGCGCAGGTGTATGATGCGTTTTCCATGGAAAAAAAATAATGTAGCTTCCTGGTTAACACAGATCAGCATTAACAAAAGCCCAGACAATACCTGTTCAAATTCCCCACTGACAGACTCAAGTGTTAGCCAATTTCCCACACTCTGTTTCATCATTCTGAGGTTTTACTTTAGAGAACTATAAACATAGCAGTGTATTTACATAGCTCTTACTGAGAATTGTCTGAGTGCTTTTAGTTTGTATAGTAGAGCACAATGGTGTAGGCAGATTTATAGACTACATACAAAACTTAATTAAGTATCTATAATTTGTTTGACAGCATAGTTATGAAATGTCCAAGCTCTTTTCCTGTTGAACATTAAGTGTCATCTAAATATATCATATTTACAGACTTCAGACTAGCATATTTTTTATTTGTAGAAAATATAAAAATACAATTTATTTCACAGACTCAGATATCAAATATACCGGTAGGTTTAGAAATGTCTTTACATTTTGAAATGAAAAAAAAAAAAAAAAGTTTAATAATAAACAAACATGATGCGAATGGCAAGAAAAGTAATACATCGTCATGTTTTCAAAGAATATTAAGGCAAAGCGCTTCTTATTGTTTCTATGTCGCAAATTCTATACAAACATGTAGTTATTAAAAGTAAAGTTTCCTATAACTGGTGATACTTTCAAAGGAATTATTCATTGGAATTGTACAGATGAATAAGCAAATATCTACCATTTGTTTTAACAGCACAGAATGATAAGAACCGTCTTGGCCTTGTTATCAAGCCTTTAAAATTTGCATTTGCAAATGTGACTCGGTGTCGCATTTACCATTGCGTGTGTAATTGTGATCAATAACAAAGAAAAATGAACATGAAGAATAATCATGCATTACCTCTTCGAGCATTGAAGCACTTTTCAAAGTCTTCATGTAGAAACAGTGAAACCTAAATGCAAGGTCTTGGCTTTTTTGAGTGTACATAAACAATGAACATTTGCATAGATATTATACTGGTCATATTTCTTTGTAACTGTTGCTTTGTAACTTTGCATGTTACATATAAAAAACAAAATTCAGTGCTTCAGTTATAGCACAGCTAATAAGACTGATATGAAGTGTCTATTTCAATTTTGGTTGAAAAAAGCAAAGAGGGCCACAAACTTTGCTTCTCTGATGATGTGGGATCTAGGCCGGTGCTGTTGGAGGATTTCAGCGCTCCACATTCTTTAAGTGCTTGTTCGGTTCTGATGCTCGTGCTCAACTGTCCTTTTGTGCTCTTTGTTAAGTCTTCCAAAGCCTGATACCCACCATCACTTGGTGCGACGCTGCCACCATCGACAAACAGAGAAGGATATACTGGATTTTTACTAATGATGAGATTTTTCAATAACTTTTCCTCAGAATCAACATCGTTTGAAAGGTTCAAACTAACATCCGCATCATTTCCCTGGTTCACACCGCTGTTGAAGGGCTGATATCCATCTTCCAAAACATCATTAGTGGGAACGTTAAACTGGCTCTTGTTCATATCAACACTCGTAGAGGAGTTTTCAAAGCTAGAAATGTCAGATTGACAGGAATGAACCAGGAAAGATGAATTATCATTGGCCGATGTCAAATACGTCATGTTGCTGAAAACCGATGACCCAGAGCAGTTGCCCGAATCTCTTTTAGCACGGTTGTGATCTCCTGAGTAACTGAAATCAAAACCCTCGACTTGCTGATTGCTGGGTGTTTTGTTGGCTGAGAGAAAGGATATGAAATCCTTCTCCCGGGCACGTTCGACACGTGATAAGACGTTGCAATTCTCCTTGTCACTACCAGAATCAAAACCAGCCTGGCCATAATCGTCTGCCCCTGACTCAAAACTGTGGGAACTTTTCTCATTGTTTGTATCAACTGATAATGTGGAGATCCTGTAGAGAGACAAACATGTTGAGGCGTTATTAATCAGAACTAGAGCGATGCTAGTCTGTCATGTGTTTCGGAAGTTTTTGGGAAAACTTACAACTTCTTTTTGTCCTCAAAGTCCAGTGTTGGAATCTCTACATGGATCGAGGAGAAGTCCATAATGGAAGGAGGCAAAATATGACCCTATTAATCAAAAATAAAAATACAAAATAGGGTAAGAAAAGGGTATCTACATAAATGATGTAATATTATGATTATTGGTGCCTATTTGTATCTTTCTCCAACCTTCTCTTCTCCAATATTGGCATCTATTTTTGGCTTGGAGATCTTGTCCCACCAATTCATCTTCACCCTGTAGCGTGGAAGTGAATTGTGTCAAAAACTACATTTGTGGAGGATGCACAAAGGAATACTGTAGCAAAAATGCCAAATGGAGGATGATGGCGAAACACAAAATAGAGATCTCACCTCAAAACACAGATGAAGGTAGTACAAATGATGACGATTAAAACACAACATAGAATCGGAACCATCGTTTTGAGTAATTCATTTGGAGATGAGGCTGTGGAGCACATATAGATTGATCAGGATTATTGAAGAGCATTAAAACACACACATTAATAACTATGAGAACAGAACACATTGACTTACAGCTGGTGAACTCAACTGGTGCGCTCTGGTCACTCAGTATCTTGTGATTGTTATAATCTGTGCTCATTCTTGCTGTCAGAATGTAGTTGGTGTTTGGCTGGAGATTTCTGTCCACAATCTCATAGAATCCCACAGAGTTTTGCACATTCATGGACATCTGTATGGATGAAGTGTTTATTTTATTTCTTTATGATACATCTATATGTGAACATGCATAAATTCATTTAATATCATCTTCCTTACGGTTTCATTTTCTCCTTCAGTCCTATACGTCAGATGTATTTCCAAATGATCTGAAAAAAATGATTTCTCATACTTGACATCCCAAGTTATTTTAAAATCTCCATTTTTAGTCTTCTGCACTGATACGACTGGGGTTTTTGGTTTGACTGGAGAGAATGAAAATCACATATTTGTAGATGTGTCAGATAAGGCCAGAACACCTTTTTTAAATTTCAGAATATTTAAAAGTATAAAAAAAGCATAACAATAGACAACAATTATACTCACTGAAGTTCATTGTCACAAATGTTTTGCTTAATAAAACATTTGTTCCATTCACAAGTGTAGTAGTGAATTCCTCAGTTGAAACAAACCCATCGACTTTAATTTTGCATTCACAGTCGGCACTGTGATGACTTTTCTCAAAGGTGCATGTTTGCAACCTGCAATATAAGAGTAAATAGTGTCAGTTGATTGCTAAATGAACAGTAAATCATTTTAGTTATATTTATAGAGGAGTTGAACAAATACATACGTATCTATTCCACTATTTCTGATGTTGAGTTTGTATCCAGAGCAATTTATGAGGCCGTCAAACCAAAAACTGCATTTCATTTCTGTCTCATAGTCATTGAAACACTTCAAGTCCTTCTCTGTGGGTTCTACAGAGATTTATGAGATGGAAAATAAAAGAAGTCACTATCACAAATGACCAAGGTACGAGTTGTTTTGTTAAAGTAAAAGTTGTTTTTGACTGTAAAACACTGCATAAAAAACATAAAAGTGGTGTCATCTGAATCAGTTTTTAATGTTTAATTCGTTATAAAACATTGATCCACATCAGCTTGTCATCAACATGTTTTAAATAAATTAATGAATCAACGATTAAATTTACTCAGCAGAAACAATCATTTGGAAACAATTGTGAGAGTGACACACACACACACACACACACACACACACAAAGGAAAGCAGAACAGATAGCTACATAAGGGGATATTGTAAAATCACAAGTGACAAATAGGGCAAGAACAAGAGTTCATGCTTAGCTAAATAAACATTTACCGTAACAAAGTGTTTGGCAGATGAGTGTGAGGATGATCTGACAAAGAAGATATGTGGAAAACATCCTGCACTTCCTAAGCATAAATATAATATCATTAATCTTTAAACAATTACATACAAAATGTAAAAATATGATATCCAGACAAAATATAGTTTTCTCATACCTTTTGACTGTACGTTGCTGCGTTCGCAGAGTAAAAGGAACTAAAAGAAAAAATAGAAAATAAAAGAAACCGAATTTAACGACCACTCTGTAGACAAATTGAACATATCAGTCACAGACGCATAAAAACAACATACGACGAACAGTTTAAACCGTGTAAATGCTGGTCTACCTACCATAAGCTTCCCTTTTCGCCCACGCAACATGGAAGTGGACCAGACCTTTCCAGGAACACACGCACGCAGACAGTAAACTTTTGCTGTTCCACCACAGTCCCGCCCCGCGCGCGACCGAGCTGTTCCTGAATCCTGACTGCGCGCTCACGCTCACCTCTCTCTAGGCTCAGCTCTGCTCAAGCTCAACGATAGGAAAACTAAGGAGAAAACAATCATACCGCCCGTCAGAAATAAACAGGATTAGTCTTCGTTATAACGAGTTGTTTATTAGGTAAATTTTCCCAATAAACACAAAGGAAATTGTTATGCAAGACTGTCAAAAAAGGAAGCGCAAAATGAAATTGCATTCCAGAGAAACAATGCAATTGATTTCAGTTCCTGTACCGTTTTTTATTATTATTTATTATATTTATTTGTTTACCTCTCTGCAACACAGTTTTTTCAAATCTTTAAAAACAGAAACAATGGTAGCTTATGGTTGTATTGAATGTGATTTTGCCGAGTTACAGTAAGAACGGGTCTTTCAACCCTGCCTGACTCCTCATGCGCGCGCTCACTTGTGGCAATAGGGACGCCATATGGTTGCAAACGGCACGACAGTATTTTACATTTAGATACAAAGTCCATTATGTGAATACTAGTAGTCATCGGCAGATTTGGCACGAGTTTAACAGTACAACATGGCCTGCTGGCAATATTCCAGCAAACACATGCCTAGCCTATGTTTTTTTTTTTTTTTTATAATCACATAAACCAACAACCATGACAGCAACACTCCCAGACAGCAACATAGTTCAGCCCACATCTGGTACGCATGGAATCCACATGTACCAGATTTCGACATTGCTGTCTGGGCTACTTATAATGCCATAACCTCACCATGACAAAACATATGTGTTTTGGCTTTTATCTGTTTCTGTTTTAGATCGTAATGTCTCCTTCCATTTGCTCAAGGAGTTTATGCCACCTTCTGATTAATGGGTGTTTGTAAATTTGTTTGCGTGGTGTTGCAAACAAATTTTGTTTTGTAGGTTGTAAATGTAGATTTGTTTGCAACTTTACAATGGTGTATGTGTCTTTTGTTCAAAACGATTCACATGCATGCCATATTGAATTTTGGTCAGTTTTGATGCACAGGATCCTATTTTAGTTGCCTTTCTGCGGATTATTTGTCCGAATAATATAAATTAATCTGAAAATAGTGCTTTTGAGTTGTGTGAAACAGCCTTGCCATGTACGAACAGTCTTCCAATCATTATGTCCCTCTTCATTAATATTGTTTTAAATGTGGATTGACATTTCAAAGATGATTTTCAGGGTTAAAAAGTGATCATTGCGAAATCAATTCCTACAGATTTTTTTTTTTTTTTACTTTAAACAAACAACATGTCCTTAAAAGGTCATGCTTACCATTTTTGTCAAATATTATGAAAGCTTTACATAAAACTGTACATTTTTTTATATTTATGTATTTCAGAAGTAGCATGCAAAACATATTGTAAATAAGCCTACAGATCCTTCAGATCTACTGCTATCAATTGTCACTAAATTATTATGATTTATATTAACTTAAAATATGATAATATCGGCTATTTAATGGATGATAGACGACTTTTTTCCCTGATAAGTGTGCAGGATGCAGTACACGCAGTGTTTCCCAACCCTGTTCCTGGCGGCACACCAACACTGCGTGTATTCTTTGTCTCCCTTATCAAACACACCTGATTCAACCCATCAGCTCATAATCAGGTGGGTTAATGAGCTGATGGGTTGAATCGGGTGTGTTTGATTAGGGATCCGAAGGATCTGAAGGATCCGCCAGGAACAGGGTTGGGAAACACTACCGTAGGGAACTTAAGTCACGTGATCGGAAGTGTTTGTAGTCGGACCGCGCGAATGTTGCACGCAAAGTTGACATCTCGGCGGCACAACTTTCAATTTGAAAACAGGTATGTGAGGAGGAGATCAACACTCGAGAGCTATAACTGTTAAATATAAATCTGTCTCGGTCAGACTACGATGTCGTTTTTTGAATGCCCGGACAAACGCATGCTTGATTTGACGTAGCATGTCGCGCATCTTCGTGGCTTGCAGTAATTTTGTACATTCGTGCTGGAAGACATGTATATTAATGTATATTACCACAAATCCTTGTTCGCACTAACACTAAAAAGAATTGGTCGAAAGACTGTTGTTATTTGTTGACATCTAAACTTTATCATACGGTGTAGCTACAAGCTAGAACAGAATAATAACGATGAGACCTAAAGATGAAGTCAAATAAATCTTAAAATGACCACCTGTGTACCATTACCGTGGGAACATCATCATATTTGAACTATTGTTTAGTTGAACTTAAGTAACGTTATTGTCTTGGTAATATATAACGGTTCTCCAAATGTAATTGTCATATAACGTTACCTAACTGAGCCTAACTCACGTTTGCCTGGTCAGTATTTGCAGGTTTGAGAAATTGTGTTTATCAAGATATGTGTTTTCCAGCTCAAGAGGACATTAAGCAGAATGTCCCGAGCAATGGGAGACAGTCACAGGCGCTTCTTGCAGACCATGATGAGCAATGGCATCATCAGTGCATCTCAGGCTGAAGCACTACACAAACACTGCTGTGAGACCCATGGAGGTACGAAGAAAATTCAATTCAAATTTATTTGTATAGCGCTTTTCACAATACATATTGTTTCAAAGCGCAGCTTTACAGAAAGTGCTTTTCAGAAATTACATTTAGTTAACCATGTATTAATTTAGGGCATAACATATTGTCGGCATCAAATCGTCTCTTCACAGGCGTCGCGTCGTGTTTTCACAGGTGTTTAGTTGTCTCATCGCAGGTGTTGGGGCATCTGAAGTGTCTGCGAGAGGCTGAATACAAACTGGAGCTGACGAACGCTATTTACCAGATGAGAAATAAATAAAGCAGATGGGAAATAAATAGCATAGCTGTTATTTATAATATTAATCCATTCGATCTTATTCAACTAGTTTTAAACTAGGACAGCGAGTCTGAGCCTTGAACAATATCAGGAAGGCTATTCCAGAGTTTAGGAGCTAAATGCGAGAACGCCCTCCCTCCTTTAGTGGACTTAGATATCCTAGGAATGACCAGAAGCTTCAAATTTAGTGATCTTAAAGAATGCGATGGATTTTAGGGCGATAGAAGGTCCATTAAACCATTTAGGGCTTTATAGGTCAGTAGTAAATACTTGTAATTGATACGAAACTAAATAGGTAACCAGTGTAGAGATGATAAAATCGGTGTTATATGATCATATTTTCTTGACCCAGTAAGAACTCTAGCAGCTGCATTTTGGACTAACTGTAGCTTGCCTTGTTTATTACGGATGCAGGACAACCAGCTAATAAAGCCTTACAGTAATCTAGTCTCGAGGTCATGAATGCATGAACTAACATTTCTGCATCAGAAACAGATAGCATGTTACGTAGTTTAGCAATGTGGACAAACTCTTTTGGATCATTTGTTTATCATTTCATTTTTATTCTGCACTAAAGGCAAAATTATTATTTTGTTGATGTTGTTGTTTGTATATAGTAGTATATAAGTGTCCTGTTTGAATTATGCATCTTTCTTGCTTTTCTAGCGCACTATGTGGCAGACAGATTAGATGATTTCATTAATGTCATCAACTCTCAGCTTCAGCCCTTGTTCATGTACATCAGGAAAGGCATGTCTGAAGAAAATGGACTGGAGTATTATGCCTTGGTTGGTTGAATCTAATCGATATACACATCTTCTTAATTCATGTGTTTGATGTTATATTTGATTTATGCATTAATATAATGATATTAGTGTTATAATAAACTTGTGTTTTGGCAATGTAGTATATTATATTATCAAAACAGAAATGACGTTTCATCTGTTATTCAGGTAAACATGACCGATACAGAGATAACAAGAATGGCGTCTGATTATGCAGATAATGAACTGGAATTATTCCGAAAAACGGTATGTTTATTCACATTTTTTTTTACATTTATTTATATATATATATTTTTTTTTTGGATCCCTCTGACCTGCAAGACATTCGTTATGTATATTAAATCTCCAACAAAGGCATCAGAAAACAATCAAAGAAAGCCATATTTGCTTCTTAAATTTAGCACATGATGCACTGGCTAATACATAATTAACTAAAACATAACTACAGCTAATTAAGGGTACGTTTACACAACAACGATGTACTAAAATGGAAAAGCTTTTGCTTTTGAAAATGCACAAACATGCATAAAATTTCCTTCATATGTCATGTCATGATTATGAAGGTGTCATGTTTGTCTTATGCACACCCCTTCAAGTAAAGTGTTACCAAAAATTATTTCTGAGCAGTAAATCAGAATTGAGCGTTTGGGGGTTGAATAATTATGACATTAAAAAAATCCAATAACCGATCCTTACTAAAACCTGTTGGTTTGTTTATATATATATATATATATATTTATCGCCTGCCGTTGTTTCTTCTGTCAGATGGATCTGATTGTGGACTCTGAGAGCGGCTCTGCTTCCTCCACTGATATTTTAAACTGTGCCGACAGCCTCCGGACAAAGAAACTGAAGAAAAAAGAAACCGAGCATGTCTTGAACAAATTTGTCCAGGACAAATGGTTAAATGAGGTATACGTTTTCAGATATATTTAAGTATTATAAATAACTCACTACCCTTAAAAGCAATTCATTACTTTTTTTGTTCTGCTACTTTAGAAAGACGGTGAATACACTCTTAGTGTCCGCTGCGTTGTGGAGATGGAACAGTATATGCGCACAATCTATCAGGATCTCATCAAAGTGTGTCATGTGTGCCACAACATTGCCCTGCAGGTATACATACACACACATACGAGTAAAAGTCATGAACTTTTTTTTTCTTGTGATCAATATTTTTTCTTTAAAGTTAATATACCAGATACAAATCAAGGCTCACTGAACTATATACAAACAGATGCCATGAGAACTCTCCACATATAAGAATATATATATATATATATATATATAAATAAATAAAAGTCATGAACTTTCAATTATTGAGGAAATCCAGCTTTAGAACTCATTTGATGTGAAGGGCTCGTGTATCTTGCTTAATATCTGAGTAGTTGAATTTTCTGTTAGTTATGTATTCAAATAGTTTTTTTCATAGAATTGACTGGGGTTGGCTGACTTTTATGGCATTTTCAGACATGGGGAAACTGCAAACAAAATGTTTTCTTTTATATTCAGTGCCAAATGTGTGAAAACCCAGCATGTGGAATCAAGGTGCACCTCCCGTGTGCTGCTAGATATTTCAGAGCACGCAGTGACCCTCATTGCCCAGCATGCAATGATTTCTGGCCTCACGAGATTCCAGGTGAGCTGTTGTTATTAAAGAGATAGTTCACCTAAAAATCTAAATTCTGTGATCATTTACTCATCCTCAAGCTGTTCCAAACCTGTATGCATTTCTTTCTTCTGTTGAACACAAATTAAGATATTTTGAAGAATGTTGATGACAGGTGGTGGACCCCATTGACTTCCATAGTAGAAAAAAAAAAAAATATTAAGTTAGCCATTGGCTACCATCAAATGTGTGGTTACTGGCATTCTTCAAAAAATGTTCAACAGAAAAAAGAAACTCGTACAGGTTTAGAACAACTTGAGGGTGAGTAAATGACAGAATTAAAATTTTTGGGTAAACCAACCCCAATTGCTCCATCGATCTTATATTATAACTGATACTCCAGAAGGTTTCAGATATCAAAATTGTCATGTCTTTTTCTTTCTTATCTGCAGAAATGCAGCGTTTTCAGTCACAGAGTTCACAAAATCTACCTTCATCAACCAGAGAGAACACTGCACCCACACCGTCCCGGCGCTCGAGGAGGTCATAGTCTCAAATCCTGCTGATCTATCGCTTCAGCTGTTTTGGTTTATTTCAAGTGCTTCCTTGTAAGAGTCTAAGATTGTTTTTACATGTATTGTTATTGAATAAGTTTGTTTCTCAATTCCACTTCTTTTGTTGTTCGAAATTGAATTCTACATCAAATTGTTTATGCAAATAAACTAATGTTTCTTTTTTTGCTCTTATGGAAATGTTTGCTGTAGAATTTGAGCACATTTGTTGTATGGTTGCCAAGATAAAAAGTTTTTTTTTTTTGAGAAGCATATTGTTCTTTCAATCCAATACCCTTTTTAGAAGGGAAGTTGATCAAAGATTAAATTGCTTAATAAATACAATCTTTACTAAAAAATGACTTCAAGTTATTTGCAAAGTTGTAAATATGGTAATTCAATTTAGTAATACTTCCTGTGACCACTGAACCGAACGAAAATCAAGACCAGTAGTTCAAACTGATAAAATATATAGCTTGACAAAATATCAGAAGGGTTTGTTTTTTAAATCAAAATGAAGGCTTTTTATGACCTATTTCAACACCTGCTAATATTAAACCATAAAATAACAGTACATTTCAAACTACAATTTACAGTTAAAATATATAGGGTTTGACAAAGAAAATATTTTAGAAAATGCTAAACCTCACATTTCAGTTGTAAAACCATTTTTAAGAAAATAGATGAGTTAAAATTATAAATATTATTTATATTTAAAGTGAATATAAATATAATTTATATTTTTACATTATAATCTTAACCCAAAAGGTCTAGAATGAATTGTCATTGCATTAAATGTTGGATGCATTGCAAAAAAATAAATCTTTCTCAGTATTTTTCTTTCCAATTCAAATGTGCATCTTGAAATCAATATATATACAATGTACTTCAAATATACAGATGTAAAGACGAGTCTGGAAAAATCAAACAAAATTGAGTTTATGCTTAAAACAAGAACAAATATCTGCCATAATTCTGAAAACTTTCATTTGAATTAAGCAGATTTTTAGGAATGTTTAGAAATTTGTACTTGGGGAAAAAAAAGACACAACTACTGAGGAAGAACATCACTTTTTTTTGCAATACAATCAGTATTTTGTCAAACGAATTAAAAAGTAGCCTAATGGACAGCTGTTAGAGAACATTATTGATGTATTGTTTGTTTTCATTTAAATTTTTTTTTTTTACTTTGTCTAAAAATGTCTTTAAAGAAAAAAACTTAAATTTACCTTCATAAAACCTGCAGAAACCCTGTATAAGACTTTTCTTATACCATTTAGGACATTATGGCCTTAGATTTATTAAAACTGAATTTCAGACTTTAAGGACCTGCAGCGACTCTCACTTTCAATAAAAAAATCCTGTAATGCTTAAAAAGTAATTCTTTTTGGGATGTTATTATTGAAATGTAAGTGATAAAATTAAAATGATCATACTTCACATTCCTCCAAAAAGTGATTATATATTTTGCATTTGTACAAATAAAGACGTTTCAATACAACAAACACTGAGCATGCCAATTTATTCTGTACAAATCATTCAGGACCACCAAAAACTGACAGAAAAGCTGAGCTCAAGAGAGCGCACATAATGCCAGTGCTGCAGAGGGATGAAGAGCACATCTCCAGGCCTGAGAACACACTCCTGATAGGAGGCTCTAGAGAAGTCAGGGAACTTCACCAGGTCTGGATTCTCCACCTCCACCTGGTGGTGGTAAAGCAAACTGGTTCATTGCTTGCTAGTCTTGCAGCGCATAATCAGATTTACTTCCAGCTCCACCATCTTTTGCAGTATTTATGTATTTGTCTATTCATGCAGCAGCATATCTTACATACTGCTCACAGCATTGTGTTTTTATATCTATTAGCAGTGGCAAGTCCATACCTGCTCTGCATCAGCAATAATCAACAGCAGTTTAGCAGACCAGACTCATTTATAAAGCGTGCGTTCGCACACACAAAAAGGGGCTGGAAACGTACACACACCAGTTTCCACGCAAAGGTTGTGATCTATATAAAACAAACTTGACGGGAGAATGTGCGCACCTTTACGCCGTGTGTACGCACGTTCTGGAGACACCGATGGTGAACTGGAGTTAAATGTCTTTTTGGTCACTTTTAGACCGAAAATCTAAAGAAAATTATAGCCTGAAGGCTGCAGAAAGATAATAGCCTACAAATATAATTTCACTCACCCCAAGCCAGTATCCATCTCTTCTTAAATGTCCGCGCAGCAAGCGCGTTGGGCTGTTTAGTGAAACTGACGCACATATAGCCTATAATCTAACGGCAGATGAATTAAAATCGTAAATCTTCACGAGTCCTAATAAATACAATGCATGTTCTCAATAACAGTTTAAATAATTGAAAGAATGATTTAAACTATGTTTTACTTCTGATATAAACATTTAGATTAAATATGCCATTCTCATTAATGGAGTTAAACACTTAAACTACACGAAATCATTACTGAGAAGTTACAAAAAATATATATATATTCAATAAATAGAGATAATTGCTAATCATGATAATAGCAGATTGTCTGAGAAAATAGTTCCATGCAAATATTGCACAACCATGTCTATCTGCTTCCATTAAAAATATAAATTAATTAAAAATACTATTTGGCTAGGGGAAAAGATTGAGGAAATCTTTTTCTGGAATGTATTTTACACTATTTGATTTATTCATTCATTCAAAAACAAGACAAGCAAATAGGCTACTAAAAAAATAATAATAATTTATTGTGACACAGCACATTCATATTTTCCTAACGTGGATGAATAATCATATGCAAATGAGGCTATGCATATTTAAACTAGGCGTTGTAAGCTCCATATATGGTTATTTCGGGGAGGAGACGCACGTGCGCACAATCTTCGGCTGACTGGGATTCATAAAGTGAATATTTCGCAGGTTCTGGTGTATGAACGGTTTCATAAATCTGAATATTATTTTAGCGTACGCCATTTTTGGCTTACACACAGTTTTATAAATGAGACCCCTGGTCTGCCAAGACCAAATACATTAACATTACCATATTCAATAACATACTACAACTAATCCAAGAGTTGTCGTTATTGAAATGACTGGTAATGTACAACAACTAGGGCTATGTACAGGAAACTTCATAAAGTAGATCCGCTACCTGACTGGTGTTGTGCAGTAGCTGTGACTGGTGTGGATAGAGATATTTTGTTTCATCTAGGCTGTAGAGCCGGATGTATTTCCTTCCAACCACCTGACATTCAAAAACAAAAGCAGAACGCAATGAAACAGAGGGAATCAAAAGCCTTGCTATTCAAATGCCCAAAGAACCATTTGTCTCATTTTTACCTGTGCCAAAAAATTCTGTTGAGGATCCTGATGGAGAGGAGACACAGTCCCTCCAGGCCCAAACCAGGCATTAATTGTTATGTCATCCTCATCTCCTTCTCCAAGACAACAATAGTCTGGGATACGAATATCTTCTTTTAGCTCTGGAACCTATCAGAATGAATAACAGCCAAAGTTACTGCTATTGCGAGAAGACTGCCATAGAACAACCTAAAATTACGGAGTTCCCTTTACATTCGCTTTGACATTACGTTTATTAACGAGGGAAAACCCCTTCCTCCAAATACTACTGAAACGCAATGTCTCGTTCCCTCATCTCAGGGAACCAAGGTTACATTACATTATTACTACATTGTCATGTAGTGTGTAATATAACCATTCCCGAATGTAAAAGGTGTGCATGATAAATGGAGATGTCTCCTAAAAGAAATATCTGATTTAGAATTGCCTGAAACGAGTCGTCTGTAATTCCATTCTTGCTGCTTGAAACATACGTAGGATTGTAACAAATTTACATAATGCCAGCCTATGGTCTTCATTTGCTGCTGCTCACCAACATCTACTTTGTTCCTCCCTCAAACACTGTAGTTGTAGCTGAGCCCTGGAAGAGTTTGTTTTGTGTTGTCGACATGAATTAATGCGGTAAAACCAATGCCATCATTACTGATTGTAACACGGGGTGCTTCTCAATACTCACATTGATGCTTTCTCGTTTATTCGCTCCTACTTCCTCCAGCCCGTGACCCGGAAACTGATCAGTGAAAGCCATTTTAAAGCCACACTATGTAACTTTACGCCACTAGAGGTCGCTTATTCCAAACAAAGGTGTAGTTTGTTTGGAATAAGCGACACGAGCGACAGTGACCATTGGCGACAGAATGTGAGCGTATCAAGCGTCAAAAGTTGAGAAATTTCAATTTTATGCAAATGAGAACCGATTTGCCGATAAAATAATTTTATTTTGAACGCAGCCAAATCTGTCAGAACTCACCACCATCGGTTCAAAATATCGGTTATCGTCTATTTGATCTGTAATAATTGCTGAAAATAACATATCGGTCGACCCCTAGCAAAAATGGTACTCGTGATAAATCAAGAAAAAGAGAATTAAACAAAAAGACTGTTGAGCTGTATAACAATGATTAGTTTTCTGTCAATAAATATATCCAAACAGTCGCTAGCCTGTTTAATAAAACGCATAATATACTAAAGCGTCTTTAGTATTAACGCAGGTATGATTTCATTGATATGCGACGCACGGACATGGTCCGCGTCCTGGTTTAAACTGATTTAAACATTCTTAGAAACATTTGGGATAGTGTAAGTACACAAATCAACAAAATATATAACATTGTTGTAGTAATTTTTGGATATTTATGACATCTCAATTCTCTAATTCCACCGCGAGGAACGAATAATGAGGAAGCTTCCTTTCTGAAAGTGACATGATCCCATTCATTTCAATGGAGCGCTGGCGACCTCCGGCGACACGAGTGACCATTGGCGACAGAATGTGGGCGTGTCAAGCGACAAAATTTGAAAAATTTCAACTTCATGCAAATGAGAAGCAATTTTCGCGAGCGACAACCAATAGGAAAGAAGACTTGCAGTGGAGCTCACGCGTCATTGTATCGACTGCAGGCAAGACCGAAGAGTTGGAGGACGATTTCACTGTTTTATATGATTTAACTGTAACCACATACATGGATAATAAAATGACGCATTGAAAAGAAACTGTCGACAGTCAGAGAGAGTTTAATTCAAACATTTAACGTTATGGTTCGAGTGTTGCAATTTTATGATGCACGTTTAGTACTGCCGCAGTTCATTTTACAATTTCCTAAGGACAAGAAAATGGATTATTTGTCAAATTCGAATGACGTTTTAATAATTTATGACGGTATGAGTGAGTTTAATTTGTTGATTGATCGATCGTTAATCTAGTAAAGGATTTAATCCACTGAACTGTGCTGTGGTAATATAAAAACACTCTCCTAACAGCATACAGTTTCTTTTTAGCCTTAAAAGTCATTTGTTCCAAGTCAAATTAAAATTATATAGTTGTATATATCACTTGTGATGGTATTTTATATGGATACGGCCAGACGCGCAGTCTACCAATAACATCAGAGCGACAGCACTACGAACGCCCACAAGCGACTTCAGTACAGAGCCTAGCGGCATACAGCAACAAAGTCGCTGGCGGTGTGAACGGGGCTTGAAGAGTCATGAGATAGGATACACAGGTGTATATTTCCCTAGCATCCTAAGGCGGTGTGGCTAAGACATGATGAAAGGAAGCGAGGATGCACAAACAACAAATGAGAAGCACTCACTGTGCATCAAGCACTGAGGAAGCCTCTGAGATTCAGATATGGTAATGACTGTTTCGTTTCCAACACTCGCTGTAAGACTGTAACAGACTGAGCCATCTAACAAATCAGAGCAGCCTCTCAAAAAGGAACCGA